GTAAGGCGGAAGTCACACATTTCACTGTCAATCGGACATTACTTATGTACAACTCTGATGTAATAACTAAGGAATTATAGAATTAACCACTAAAGGTCTTTTATGTTATACTAGTTTACAAAGATTGAGTGACTAAGTTTCATTTGATAAGTGGTTTAATTCCATAAACCGTTTCCTTTGTATAAGTGGTTTAATCCCATAAACCGTTTCATTTGTAAAAGTGGTTTAATCCCATAAACCGTTTCATTGGTAAAAGTGTTCTTAGTTATATCTGTTCTACAGTAACAACCTTAGTATTAATCATGGAGAGTATTCTATTATCCATAATACTGCCTTGTGGTTTTAAATGTTCAAAACCAGAAGTACAATACTTGATTTCATGATATATAGCTCTTACTGTAAGTAAAAGCTACTGAAAGTATATCTGGTCGGGATGTAATTAACTTTTCTTACTGTTATAAGAGAAGTATATTACTTTGTAATTCACTCGTTGTTTTATCCATGTGAGTCCTATTAACCATACTAATATGACGGAAATGCCTGCAGCGACGTTCTTCAGGCGTCGGAACGGTATGATATTTGACACCCTAGGCCTGCCGGCCAAACTGTAGCGAACAGTAAAGGTGCGGGATTGTCAGTCCCATATAGATCTATACACAAATTCACGCTCTCCCTACAAGAGATTCTGGCTAATAGTTCAGGACTTAAAAAGGTCGTACTTAGATAAGCACACCGTGAAGGGTCTCACAAATTTATTGTTTCAACGAGATTTCCGATGTATTATTGTTATTACCCGATGAATGCTAACTCTGGTACTTTGTATCGTACCCTTGGTTAATGCAAACCCGGTAAGATGTATTATTACCTCGAGTTTGCTAACTCGGGTACTCTGTATAGTACCTTTGCTAATGCCAACCCGGCAGAATGTATTATTACCCGTGATTGCTAACTCTGGTACTCTGTATATCGTACCTTTGTTAATGCAAACCCGGTATGATGTATTATTACTCGTGATTGCTAACTCTGGTACTCTGTATATCGTACCTTTGTTAATGCAAACCCGGCATTACCACGTGTTTGCTAACCCTGGTACTCTGTATCGTACCTTTGTTAATGCAAACTAGGTATGATGTATCTTTACTTCTTTAATATGTTGTTTCGTATATTAAAGGTATTATACATATCTTGGTATAGTTGAATGAATTTTGGTAATTTCCTTGGAAAGTATACAGTTGTAATTCATACTTGTATCTTTAGTTTTGAATGATAAATTATACCTATTATAATTTATATGTTCTATCTGATTAGCATGGTTTCTCATGGATGAACACCTTTGCTCAGCCTGATACAAAGGTGAAGATACCAAAAGGAGTAACCTTTGGTACTCATATATGTATAATATATATATATTAAGAAGGAAACGACCTTCGGACAAACAATACAACCCTAATTCCACATCCAAACAAGGAAAAGATATAGGATAATTCATTAGTCCTAAGCCCTTCAAATCTTATTTATATATTTATACATATATAAACATGATTTTGGCATTTATACTTTGAAATAGCTTATAAAACATTTTTCAAAGAATTTAACGGAGTTTTTACATGACTTTAAAGATTTAACATGGCTTCACGTTATTTTGGAAGTATTTGATAATTTTTAAAAGCATACGGAATCATTTTGTGTGATTATTATCACATACAGTTATTAACACAATTTAATATTGTGTTAAACTTGTATTCCCCCCCTAAAAAGTATTTAAAAACCATTGAAAAGGTAAATTATAGGGGTATGAACTCACTTTGATAAGCGGTGATTTGGGCAGCGTTTCGTTTCCCGTAAAGAGTTTATTTAACGAGAAACCGGCTCAAACCGGCAGAGTTTCGACAGGAGAGAGGATGAATTCTCGAGAATTCCGGGGCTCCGGGGCTTGCTTCGGGCTTTAGACGCGATACCGGGGCCTTCGGGGGTCGTGAGAAAGTTTTCGGGGCTAAAATGTGAAAAAGGGGAAATTTTGGGGTGAAAAATGGGGTTTCTTCGGAAGCCCTCGCATGCTATCTATAGTCTGAAGGTTCGGACCCGAAGCTGTGCAAAGGTGACACGCGTCGGACAGGTGGCGAGGTTTCTGGCTTACTTTGGACCGCAGGCTCGCAGATGGGAGGCTCGGATTGGACCGGACTTCGGTCCAATAGAAGACTGACACGTATGCGAAGGGGGTGTCTCCGGGGTGTCCGATGCGAGGCTGTCCGAAGCTCATTGGACCTCGGCTGCGGTCCACTCAGGAGGTAACACGTGTACCGCGGTTCAACCAGAAGATGACACGTGGAGGTTCGCACGTGATGATGACGTGTCCGAAGGGTGACATGCGAAATTTCCCGGTTTTCAAGATTTTCTTGATTTTTGTGCCAAAAACTTGCGAAAATCATAACTTTCGCATACGAGCTCTGTTTTTGACGTTCTTTATATGCACACGTAGGTAAAATCATACTCTACGACTTTCGTTTAGACTTCGTCGGCTGGTTTTGACTTTGTTTTTAATATTATTATTTTAAACAGACCGGGACGGGAATCCGTTAAAAATTCATAACTTCTTCATCCGACGTCGGTTTTCGTCTGTCTTTTTACCGTTGTGCTACTTTTGACGAGACATTCGTTTCTCGTTTAAGTTGCGTCGGCTAAATATCGATCGATTTATATTTCAAATTTTTAGCTGTCTACTGCTAAACCGAAACTTCGAAAAATCATAACTTCCTTTTACGAAGTCGGGTTTTCACGTTCTTTTTATGAACGTTCTCGGTTTAACATATTCTACAAGTTTCATTTAGATTGTTAAGGCTAAAAATCCTTTTATCGAAAATTCGCTTTTTACACTGAACGGTGTTTTGCCAGTTTTACCGCGGATTTTCGATTGGTCATAACTTCTTCGTTATAACTCGGATTTCAGTGTTCTTTATGTTTTTGGAAACCTTGTTACAAACTCTACCACTTGGTTCATCCCAATTACGATTATTGATCAATTTATTTTTGACCAAAATTTGACTGGTGTCACACCATGACATCCATTCTGGAGGCCGTGAAAGAAAATAAAATTAGTAAGATCATCTAAGAATCATGTTATTCATTTCATATTAAATTTTCATGTTTGCTAATATTGTTATAAATGATTGTGTTGGTTTTTAAGGAGGTGAGGATACTTTGATAGTAGTGCTCCCGGGAGGTGGGGGGAAGGGGAAATGCCATTGGCAGTAGGTGAAGGTCTAGTAGTTCAAGCAGTTCTAGCAATGATTTTGATTATCATCAAGTGGTAACTGTTTATATGGATTATTCTTAAGTCATAATCAACTTGGTAGCTAATATTTCAACACTTTTGTAATATTTTTTGATGTTGTTGATATGCAGACAACAAATTCAGATAGTGATAGTTCATCTGAAGATGGATCCGAATGCAGGTCATTCACCAACAAGTGGCTCCCAATTACACTTCACTGAAACCATGGGTACATAGTGTTGGTAAAAACTGCCCCTGCACACTGTTTTTTAAGTAAAAAAAATTGTTTTTTCACAATTTTCGTCCACAGTACCCCTGCTCATTGTTTTTTAGGGAAAAAAATCGATTTTCACAATTTAGGACAAAACTACCCATGCATTCTGTTTTTATAGTAAAAAAAATTGGATTTTAAAAGTTTTGGACCAAACTGCCCCTCCCTACTGTTTTTATAATAAAAATCATCGATTTTTACGGTTTTGGCCCAAACTACATTGCACACTGTTTTTAGTAAAAAAAATGTTTTTTCACAGTTTTGGTCCAAAGTACCTCTGCTCACTATTTTTTTAGTAAAAATAATTCTATTTTCACACGTTAGGACTTGTCCTTTGGGTTCGAACTGATAGCATGTGGATTAAATAATTCTAGTAGTTTACATTTTTTGAACCAAGAAAAAACAGAGGCATGCCAAAGGTGCAACAAAAGTATGTTGCCCTAAATGTAAAAGTCTAAAAAAGTACAAGTTTCACATAATGATAAACTGCCACTGTATTGATAATCTTTTGTTACATCTTTTTATATGTGATTCATTCATGCTTCCAAGTATGACAAAATGATAAACTATCCCTGCATTCAAAAAACCAATTTTACTGAAATACTAACTTGTCTTTAATATGCCTAGTCATTCAATAACCTGAAACATCCGGTCACCATTAGTGATATTTGAACAAAAGTTAAACATCCTTGGTATTTTTTGAACAAAACCCTTAATTGGATGGTATTTTTTGAACGGGCAAAACTTCAATGGTATTTTTTGAACGTTTTTGAAACATTCTTACCATTATAAGTCATTTTCCCATTGTAGGTGTATTCAAAATTGGGAATTGTTATTCTTATTATTATTTATATTGTATTCAAATAGATTGCATCAAGCTTGCATTTGGACAAAGAAGTGGTCATACAAGAGTGTTGGAAGAAAAAGTGAAAAATGTAGCAAGTGTTTGTATCTCAACAGCCAAACGCCCAAACCATGGAAGTTTTAATGAAAATGAAGAAGCTGAAAGTGGTGACTAGAAAAATAGTTCTAATGAATTCGATTAACTAATAGATTGATTGTATTGTATAAAACATCTTAACAATTTCAAATTATGTTAGCTTGTTTTTGGTAAACCGATTGTCTATGATATTTTTAAGCTTTTGATTGTATGATTTTGAAATGTTTTATAGTTAAATTTATTTTTTGTCGGATTTTATGTAAAAGTTCTAGGAAATTAAACAAATAATAGAGACTGAATGTAAATTGTGTCCAAACACCTATGGGGACGACAAGTTGTCGCTATAGGGGTACCTATGGGGAGGACATGTCGTCTCTTTAAGTGTACCTATTGCGACGAAGGCTATGGTGATGAGCTAAAGTGACAGAGGTAAAGCGACGAGGCCTATGGTGACGACATATCGTCCCTGACATCTATAGCGACGACTTTGCACCATAAAGTGATGATTTTTGTTGCTCCTATTGGTCTTTATTCTTGTAGTTGCAAGTACTTACCATCTTCATCCAATATCCATCTTCATCCATTCTCCACAACTCGAACATTGTTTGAGCATAAATTCCTTTCTTAACTAAAAGGGCGACACAAAAGTGCATGCAGCCTCTTAGAACCGTAAGATTCAAACATGTTCTAATGATATGATTCCCTAAAGAGGGAGCTGCTATCTCTGTGAACTTTTTGGTCTTTGTGTCGAACCTCAAAAATGAATATGACCGTCGACCATAGATTCTTCTACTTACTTCATATAAGAAATAGAGTTTTTCATTCAGAAAAACAGGAACTGGCTCCCTACCAAATGTAAACCAGTTGGAGACGTTTTGTTTGTCGTCTGTTGGCTCGATCTTTATCCATGTGTCGGATTTCAACGAGTATATGTAAATTTTGGGATGGTTTGTTTCACGGAGAAGCTTGTAGTTATCGTCAAAAGAGTTATGATACAACCCAAATTGACCTGTATTGGTCATGTAACATTCTTTATAATCACTACTCGGTTTAGACAACGTCTTATACTCACCGGTGAATGGATTCCATAAAATTAGATCAAAGTATTCATGAGAATCTAATTGTGGAAAGCTTGGTGATACCTACGCATAACAATCCATGCAAAGATGTTAAGATCGACATATTTTTAGGGTTGGCTTTAAATGGTAAAGGAATGCTCGCCGTTAAACCATCAGTAGGCGTTTCACAGTCGATGGTGCGGAAATTGTATGGTTTGGTAGTAGAGAAGAGGAGATGTCTGGGGTGATTTTGATGCTCATCGTTGCCTACATGGTGGTTTGCATCTTGGCAAACACAGGCGTCTTGAGGAAGGAGTACCATTGCTTGCAAACACACATGAAATAGGGTAGAGATCTTGCCGGCATTCTTGATATTATGTGGAGTATTACACAACATATTATCTCATTTCATCATCAAAAAAATTGATTAAACAATAATGCTAGACATCTTAAATTAAAACCAACATCAAACGTACAATTTTTTTTGGTACAAATCCAATGATTTCTTACAAAAACGGAAGGGAAAAAATAAACATTTATATTGCTTGAACCGATTAGCTTACATGTCTCTTCAGATTGTAAGATTCTTTCCTAGTGTAAGCCAGTATAGATTGTAAGGTTCTTTCCTTGAGGTTGAAACTCTAATGGATCCATTCTTGCCCATGTTCCCATTATTTTCTATAACAAGTACCATTGATATCTTGTGTAGCTTCCTTTATTTTCAATGAGACTTGAGGTTGAAACTCTAATGGATCCTTTCGTGCCCGTGTCCCCATTATTTTCTATAACAAGTACCATTGGTATCTTGAATATGATAATAACATCAAAGATAAATAAAGATTGTTAAATTTGAATCTTGAAAGCATTAAGTTTGACCTCAAAAGTCAATCAGTAGACTGTATTTCTTTTCTTAAGTGAACGGACTCACCTCAAACTAATCTAGTTCCCTATAGGGTACAAGAATAATAATGACCATTAGTGGCGACGGGCGTCACCGCTAAAGGTCCTAAATGTTGCCGCTAATACCTTTAGCGACAACTCGTCAGCGCTAAAGGGTCGCCGTTGTTGGCTCGTTGCTAATGCTCCATTTGTTGCCGCTAATCTCTATCGTCGCCACTAATACTGTCCGGCGCCACTAAAAGTGTCGCCACTAATTGTAGTTTTCTCTTTCTTAGTTTTTTGAAAACGTTCATTCCATATACAAAACAAACGTTATAAAATTATGAGTTATATTAAAGTATATAACCAAAAACACATACATACATACATACACAAATACATACATAATACACATACAAACACACACACATATATATACACACACAATATACATACAAATACACATACATATACAAAATATACATTCTACATACAAAAATTAAAATAAACATATATAGAACATGTGGTGGTGTGTAATCCGGCGGAGAAGAGTGGTGGTGGACTGGTGGCGGTATTCCGGTAAAAGGACTAATTTTCTGGCCAATTTTCGGTAGACAACAACAAATTCTTGTAGATCTTCAGCAATTCCGGCAGGGGAGTGAAACAATCTGACACCACCAACAAGTATGTCACATGGGGAGAAGTTAAAGAACAAGAAAAACAGAAAAGAATGAGTTGTTGCCAGAGTGGCGACATAGAGAAAAGAGTTCACAAAAGAGGGAAGAATGAGCTGAATGGGGTTATATTTGTGAAGGGTATTAGCGGCGACGGCGTTTTGCGGCGACAAATAGAGTATTAGTGGTGACATATAGAGTATTAGCCGCGACACATTTGGGAGGAAATTTTGATGGTCAAAATTTTTGAGTATTACCAGCGACACCTTTGGGGGGAAACTTTGACGGTCAAAATTTTTGAGTGTTAGCGGCGACACCGTCGGCGCTATTGGTGTCGCCAGCAACACCTTTGGGGGGAAACTTTAACGATAAAAATTTTCGAGTATTAGTGGCGAAACCGTCGCCGTTATTGCTATGTATGACATTGATTTCCAGTCCTTGGATTAGGAACAAAATCAACGGATAAGGTTTCACCTCATATTTCGATGCGGATCAAGGTCGATAGGCATTAGCGGCAACAACGACCTTTAGCTGCGACACATAACACGAAACTTACGTGTCGCCGCTAAAGGTGGCAGTCGCCGTTAATATGCTTATTATTCTTGTAGTGATATGCTGAAGGCATGTTGAATCGGAGGTGTAACTTTCGTCTCCATTGCTCTGTCTCTTTGGCATCGACATCCCGGACATCTCATTTTTCCGTACTTAGTTAATAATGGTCTTATTTCAAGTTCTTCCAATAAATACTCAAGTCTATGTCATGCATGTCAAAAGGGCTAACACATTAGATTGCCTTTTATTTATTTAAATTCTGTTTCGTCTTTTCCTTTTGAATTGGTACATTCTAATGTCTGGGCCTCTCCTATTGAGAGTACAAGCGGTCTTAAATATTATGTCTTGTTTCTAGATGAGTTTTCTCACTATCTTTGGGTTTATCCATTGCGTAACAAATCTAGGTGTCTGATAAATTTGTGATTTTCCGTGCGTTTGTTAAAAATCAGTTTCAAACAGATATTAAATTACTTCAATGTGATAACGGGGGTGAATATAGTAACAATAAATTTCATTAACTGTTTGATCAAAATGGCATCATAATGCGTTTTTCATGTCCTTATACATCTCAACAGAACGGAAAATTTGAGCGCATGATCTGTACCCTTAACAATGGTATACGTGCTCTTCTCTTTCATGCTCGTCTTCCCCACACATATTGGTTTGAAGCTCGACACATGTCATCTGATCTTCTAAATATTATCCATTCAACCACTTTTGACCATGAAACACCCTTTCATAAACTCTACAAAATTCAACCTTGTTATGATCATGTGTAACATATCGTTTGATGAGATCTTTGGTGAAAACACCAGGCGTTTGGCATAGAACGCTCGACGTTTAAAAGCCAGTCATTCTATGATGGACGTCAGGCGTTTGCAGCCAGAGACCAAACCCTAATTTTAGGGTTTGCACCCTATTTAAAGAACATTATGACCTCAAAACCCTTCACCACTCCAGCCTCCATCCTCATTGCGAAAAAGTGTGTATGAGAGTTTAAATCCTTGTGCATCTTTTTGGTATCATTTTAGTGTTCTTGATAGAGGGAGTCAGTTGGACTGTTGGTGTGGCTCTCAGCTTGTGGATCTGGACTCTTGGAATCTTGGAGCATCATTTTGTGGTATAAAGTTCTGAACTTGATCATCATATCTTTATATCTTGCTTATGTTAGAAGTTTATGCTTATTAGCCCCATTTTATTGGTCTTTTTGGGTAAGAGCTACCTTAGACCAAAGGAGTTATCATTTTGAATGTTTTAGGGTAGATTAAGTGATAAAAGTGTGATCTTGGACCTTCCTTTCACTCCAGGCAAGTTTTGAGGTATCTTAATGGGTTAAGGAGTTGGAGTTTTGGGTTTTGGGCTCATTGTAACCATGCATGGCCACACAGTTTGCAACTTTATGGCTTTAGACGTTCCATTATGATTGGATCTGAAGTTTGGACATGAGATCTTAAGCCATTAAGACATTGGTTTGGAAGTTGGTAATCAGCGAGCAAACATCAGGCGTTTTCAAGGGAACGCCCAGGGCTTAGACGCCATGCGTCATAAGGTGGAACGCCAGGCGTTCTCAGCAGAAGCCCAATGGATCGATTTTGGGCCTTGGGCCCTTTAGGGGTTTTGGTCTTAGTTTAGTTGGGCTTGTATATAAAGGGAAAAATGGTCTTTTTCCCTCATCATGATGAGGAATGGACTAGACCATGGTTTTGGGTTAAACCCTAATTATTGATTGGATTTATTTATGGTTGTGGTTTAGCGTGAGGAGCAGTGTTTGATGGGTTTTGAGCATTCTAACACTCATATGGTGTACATGCAACCCTAAAAACCTTGGATCTATGTTTGACTAAGATACATGCAAATAATTATTTTTCCAAGGTTATTATCATAACTAGCATGGCATGGGGTACTTGAATCAAATAAAACTAGTAGAATTACTTACCTTGTAGTAGTAGTTGATTGCTTGGAGTTTGAGAGCCTAGCACCAATAATGTGGATGCCTCAAATGGAAGTCACAAATCACCACAAACTTGGAAACTTGAGAGAATAGTCACAACCTTTCTTGAAATCGGCCCTCTTAGTTTTCTCACATCAACTAGTGCAATTTCAAGAACCAAGGCCTCCTTTATATAGTGTGGTGGATTAGGGTTACATCCATGTAAACCCTAATACCCATGTCTTTTCATTTCCATGAGATCCATGGGTTAAAGCTCCATGGAGTATCCATGGACTTTCCATGCAAGCCTAGCTCATTCCAAATAAGCATTAGCCCACACTATATAAATACAAGAGCCCATATTTAATTAGTCATACTTTTGATCTCTAAATTAATTCTTATAATTAATTATAGATCAACACTAATTAAATAATATGATTTTATATTAATATATTAGAACTTATAATATATTAATAAATCATAACTTATACTATTCTCAAAAGATTATCCGTAAATTGTTCGGGTGAAGTGCAACCCAAATGGACCATGCCGGGTCGGGTCAAGTACATACCAAATATAGTTATGGACTTAGACACTATATCCAACAGTCTCCCACTTGGATAAGTCTAATAACTATAGTTGCAAGTATGACTTCATGAACCGATCAGCAATCGTAGCTCTTTAAACTCTGTTGAACTATGAAGCGCCATTTTAGATAAGTGATCATATAATCCTCTGTTCTAGATATCAGCCGGACAAATACATGGAACATGGTCTTGCTTATTGTCCAGCATTTGTTTCCCGATTTCCGATTTGTTTGACATAGAACTTAACTGAACACATCAATTTAGTTCTGACCGGGCCCGGTACATAGGTCAAAACAAAATCATCGAGGGGCCCAGATATCGCTTCTAATCCTATAAGGAACAGATAAACTTCGACTCATATGTTTGCTCTACTACGTGTTGAACTACACACAAAGGCACGGTTTATAACATCGAGTTACCAATGCGTTTTCGTGCAATCAATGCATAACCAACTCATAGGCAACAAATCATATCTCTAGGTTTGAAGACTTATATGATATTACCGTCTCACGATCACTCGAGATAAATTCCATGAAGTGATACAAGTGAGCGTGGGTTGAATCCAATACTCAGAACTTATGAGCACTCATGAGTGCTGTAGCCCCGCTTTGTCTAACATCTTAGACCTCTACAAGCCAACCCATGACAGTCTTGATTCATATCTACTTCCAACATATGACCGACTGTGGAGAGTTTGAAT